TTATGAGTAAAGTTACTTAACCAGTTTGCTACACTTAGACTTAACTTGAGGGATGATTTCACAACTTAGACCCTTCATGATGCTAGTGGGAATCCTGAGTCAAAGAGAGGTTTAGTGATTTTGCAAAGGTTATACAGACAGTGTTCAACTGGAATCTGTAATTTCTCACTCTGTTTTTAGTAGCATATTATGTTGCCTTTCCTATCATAAATATCTGTGGTGAGGATAAAATGTGATAAATGTCAGCATGCCTCAGTAGGCATAAAATACCGCAAGGTAAATTATTTCTATTGTCAGGGAGCATATATAATCCTTTGTATTGCCATTTCTTGATTTGCAGAATCTAAAGCAGAGGTTATTTTTTATGTTTTTTTTGTGTGTGTCCCTGAGCTCAAGGCCAAATTGCTTCATGTAGGTTATCTGAGCATGCTAATTGACATCCTTTGAAACTGAAATTCTTTCCATTATTTATTTGGGATACACATAGCATAAAGCATATGCTTTATGTTCAGACCAGGAATTTATTATATTCGCTTATTATAGGTAGTTTTTTGACTAGTTATTAGAGAGGCATATTAAGCTGATTAATATTTAGATAAAATAAAGCATTCACTTAAAATTTTAGCATTGTTTTCTTTTTCTTTTCTTTTTGAGTTAGAGTCTCACTCTGTCGCCTAGACTGGAGTGCAGTGGCCTCTCCCAGCTACCGCAGCCTCTACCTGCTGGGCTCCGGCGATCCTTCTGCCTCAGCCTTCCAAGTAGCTGAAACTACAGGCGTGCCCTACCACGCCCGGCTAATTTTTGATTTATTGTAGAGATGAGGTCTCACCAAGTTGCCCAGGTGGGTCTCGAACCCGCGGGCTCAGGCAATCCACTCACCTCAGCCTCCCAAAGCGCGGGATTACAGGTTGAGCCACTGAACTCGGTTTAGCATTTTTTTCTTACTGTGACTTTTAACTTCAGGCAATTGTCAGCTGACAAATTTTATGGTTAATTAAGGAGTCAGGATTTTCCTGGGATCAAATCTCACTCTTATTAGCTGTGTGACCTTGGGCAGTTTTAAAAAATTTTTCTGTGCCTTGGTTTCTTTATTGTTAAATTAGGCATAATAATAGTGATTAAGCTACAATTGACCACTGGACTATGGATTCATTTACTTTCTACAGTAACCAGTAACCACATGACAAAGTGGGAGGGAAGGAAGACATGTGGTGATTACACAGCTAATAATGAATAGTAAAGGTGAGGTTTGAACTCAGGTAGTCTTAACTCTTGGCCATAGCTTTTGAGCATGTGCTGCTACCAGGAGTAAATGAGATCTGGTCTGTAGAATGCTTGGTACAGTTTTGGTTTTCAGAGCTCTTCAGATCTTGGAATTGTGACTGAGGTATTTTGGACTTAGAGATTAATTTAGGAAGAATTGTAAATATATAATTGTCCTTGGTTCTAAACACTTCTGGTGGCTTGATAGAAATGAAAGAATCACAGCCTCTACCCCAGGCATAATTAATTGATCATGATCTGCATTTAAGTTTCTTAAAGTTTGAGAATTATTACAGGATATGATTTTGAAGGTTTTTTCCAGCTCATGATTGAGGTTCTAGGCACAGCAGCATGGATAAGTTAGTGTTGATTACTGTATTTATTGAAGAAAATGGTAATATATTAAGGGATTATTTTAATGTAAATCACTGTCGTGTAGACTTATTTCTGTTGTTTCTTTGACTTCTGTTATAGGGCAACTCTTGAGGTAATACCTCCTTGAATTTGTGAAAGACTTTTGACAAATTTTTGACAAAAATTTAAGTACCTTAAATTTTATCATTTTGAATCATTTTAGGAAATAATTAAAATCCAAAATTTTTAAGTGGTGTTAGATCAGATTTTTTCCTAGTTATCTCACTAATAATAAGATGATAATATCAGCCAGTTATACATATAAGAACACTAAGAATGGCATACAACTTTATTTCGGGACGATTCACTATTCTCATGTTTCAGTGAAAAGTTTAGCAATTTAAATGAACAGTTAAAAGAGGTTAACTACCAAGCAAATGAGCACTTGACTTCCATGATTAGAAATGTTTAGTTTTATTAGTCTCTGGTATATAAAAATTTCTCTCAAACATAATTAAGGAAAGGTTCTTGCATGGTTTTTTTTTTTTTTAAATGGGACAATAATGTCTGTTTTGTTCACTGTTAAAAAAAATTGCTAGCACCTGGCACATTGTAGGTATTCACAAATGTTTGTTGACCGAATGAATGAATAGGAGTTTGTTTTTGGTGATTTTGCCACTCTTTTCAAATGAGTAATAAGAGACCTGTATGGGCCTGAAAACTTGAGTTTTTGGACAAATCTAGCATCTCCCCTTGTTAACTAACTGCTGCATTAATTAATCTTCAGATCAACGGAATGTGGTTCTGTTTTTGCAAATTTCTTTAATTGTGAAAAATATGATTTAAAGCAAAGAGAATAGAAGATTTATACAGTTTAAGACACACTGGATTAAGAACTAGAACATGCCTGTAATTCCAGCACTTTGGGAGGCCAAGGAAGGAGGATTGCTTGAGACCAGAAGCAAGACCAGCTGGGGCAACATAGTGGCACATAGTGACATAGATGCGAGTATCACTTGAGTGTAGGCATTTGGGGCTGCAGTGAGCTGTGATAGTGCTGCTGCGCTTTAGCCTGGGTGGCAGAGCCAGATCCAGTCTCTACAAAGAAAAAGGGAGGGAGGGAGGGAGGGAGGAGGGAAGGAAGGAAGGAAGGAAGAAAGAAGAAATAGAATACTACTGAAGCAGGGCCCTGAGGTGTCTATAATCCCAGCCACTGGAAGGCTGAAGCAAGAAGATTGCCAGGAATTGAAACCTCATCTCAAAAAAACAAAAACATATAAAGAAACCAAACGCCAAAAAACAATGAATAAATGAAATCCTATTAAAAAGAAGAACAGAATATTGCTGAGTATTTGAGGACCCCCTCCCCCATGTTGTCCTCCAATTGCAAGCTGCTTTATCCCCAGAGATAGTCACTTTTTTGGCTTTATTTTTAAAACCTCTGAATAAATCCTTAAACAGTAAGTTGTTTCACTTTGAAAAAATCGACTAGAAGCATAAATCTAACTGTGTAAAGAAAGGGTAATATATTGCTTATATTAGATTAAATCTCACCGGAATGAAGGTTGAATAAAGTATCTGAATCATAGCTTGGTCTCAGTTTTCTGGAGAGCTTACGAGAACTCTTTTTTGGGGAAGTCAATGGATAAGGTTTTGAATGAGTCTTGGGAAATAGCATATGTTTCCCATAGTTGGGCATCTGGCAGTACTGGTCTGTGGATAGGTACCGGATGTTCAGCAGAGGTATTATCAGAGGCACTGAGCTGCTCTGTACTTGACTCTGAATCAGTGTGTCCTACTTTCAGCTCTTAGGAGGATGTCAGAGGAGACCACTGCTTAGGTGAAATTGTATTCCCAGCTGATTCAGGGAGGAGCATGGAAGCAGAACAAACTTCGTTAGCAGGCATTCTGTCCTCTGGTTAAAAGCTAATAGTGGCCAGGATCAGGAAAAAGGATCATAAAAATACAATTGATCAAGAATTGTACCAGTTCTACATAGAAGGAAAAGAACAAAACCAAAAAAAACAAAACCCAAAAACTCCACTGAGGGTTATTAAAGAAGAAACATTATTTTGGAATAGGAAGACTGTTTAATAAATTCTTCCTGAATCTTGGCCAAGATTCTGTTCGTGTGTCATCTAATCATTCAGAGCTTCTTGAACCATGGGCAGGTACTTTATTTTTCTCCATAGCACTTCTCCCCATGTGATGTAGCTACGTTTAGTTATTTAGTTTTCTTTTTCCCCCTTGGAATGTAAACTTACGAAGGTATGTGAATGTATGACAGTTGCTTGTATTTTTTTCCTTGCTAGAATGCAGACTTGGAAGGGTGTGTTTTGTCTTGTGGTATACCCAGCACCTCCAACTGTGCTCAGCATATAGGAGGCAGTCAATGACTGGATAATGAATGAATACATAAATAAAACCCCCCTTTCATAATCCACAGCCCATGTTGTCTGTTCCATAGTTGTGGTCATTAATTTTGTTCAGTTTACCATCTTATAATGCTTTCTATTATTTTCTTTTGGTTCAGTGTCTAATTGTTTCATTCCTATAAGACATTCTTCTCTGTGCTACTTATTGGCACAAGTGGGACAAACGCTTCCTTTGTGCTGCCTCACACTGCAGGGCAAATGGATATAGGAACTTGTTGAGTTGAATACATTTATTTATTCATAATGACTTAGATTGCTAAATCCAGTTTGCTCTCAACAAAAGGAGTATTTTTATTGGGTAAGACAGTATAATTCTGTACAAAATAAAATTTTGGTTTTTTTTTTAAAGGATAGATACTTTTTGGAGATACTTTGTTAAGCTCATGGTAAATTCTGGTAAGGTTGGACCTTTTGTAATTATAATTGTGTGAGTTTCTGCAAACAATTTGAGTAAAAACAAATAACAGTTTTCAGTGGAATAAGGATTTCTTCCCTTGAAATTTAAATTTTAAAAAGGCTTCCTTATGCTGTATTTATATTGAGACTTTGTTTTAAAATGAAATATTAATTCTAAGTATAACTCTGTAGGCTGTTTAACATTTTATAAATGTGTTTGCAACTATAAATATACAAATGTTTTTATAAATACTTTGTCCTATTTCTCATGCCAGCATTTCATTTAACAGTTTGTGTAACTGTTTCTGTTGTTTACCTTTGCACTGCCACTAGATTTGTACAAATACATTGTTGATACCCCGCAAATCTCTATACATATCGATCTTGTATATAGTTTTTTTGGAGATATATTTTCAAGTGTTTACTTTACATTTCTAAAAGTAATTATTTCATCAGTTACTGAAATGGCACCATAAATGTTTAAAAGAAAGAAATTTAAAAGTTTTGTTGATTCTTTTCTAATGTATTTATTTATTTTTTGCTTTATTTCAGGCCAGTCTATCCATATGGGGATGGGGAAGCCTTGGCATTGTCCTTTTTCTAATAACCTTTGGACCCTTTGTAATATTTTATTTGGCATTTTATATCCTCTGCTTTGTGGGTGGGTAAGTATACTCAATGATAATTTTGCAATTCATGTGACATGACTTGTTCAAATGGAAATAAATGGCTGAGAAGAATGGAATTATAATTTATTTGTGAATGCTGTTTTTTTATAAGTTGCTTTTGTTAGAGTTAAGCAAATAAAATTAAGATACCCATAAAAATAAAAATAGTGATGGTTATTATTTGTACCAGAAATATGAATAGTCATCTTCAAAAATAAAATTTTAATTTTTCAAGATAACCTTTTTTTGTGACAATATGAAACGTTTTTAAGATTTTTAAAATTTTTTTGGTGTTATTCCCCCTTTAAGTAGGGGGTTATTTAACTTTAAGTTAAAATTTTCATGCCCACCATAAAAGTTTTAAATTGAGGCAACACATTGAGTTTTACATCTTGGAAATTATTTCACTGATTAGACTTCACAGTGATATTAAGGATTTCCTTTGATGAATGTTATTTTATTGGAGAGAAGTCAAGTAAATCCCTGATTTTACTATTTTCTCTTTGTAGTTATTTGGTTTACAGTGTTTCTGTTTCCCCTTACGTTGATAAACTTTTACAAGGGGAATTTCCGTTATAATTTATCATAGCTTCATATGCAGAGCATTTGGTACCAGACATGAATTGTAAGAAAACATCAGAAAATGTATAGACAAGTAAGATACTTGCTCTTTAGACACTCCCACCAAGGTAGCTTAGCTGAAATGAGAGGTTTGTTAATGTGTGTATGTATATATATTATATATTGTTGTGGAATGAACACTGGGTTTCTAAAAGATCTTTTGAGACCCCAGACATTTGGAGGAGTTGTTTGAGCCTATAGACTTAGAGGATTTAGCTGGATTGAACAGCAGATAAAAACACTGACCTGAGAAATTATATAAGTAGCTTCTGAGTATATGTGTCACCTCTTGGGGTACAGGTTTGAAGACATGTTGTAGTCATTTTGTAAGGAGCATACTCACTAATTGTTGAACAAGTGAAAATTACTTAAATTGAGTAGCTATGTCAAAGACTTTCCGTAAGACCATATTTTATGTTAGATTTAGTATTTTTCATTAATTTCCTAGATATGTTATTGTGTACTGAAATATTTAAACTCATTTCAGCCATAGGAGTCAGATACATGAAGTTCAGAATATCGTTACTGATAACAAAGATAATTGAAAACTTTATAGTCTGCAGCCAAATGGGCTTCCTAATTACACTTCTCAGTCACAAGTCAGGGCCACTGCGTGGCTGAATAGCTGCATGGCTACACCTCTCCTTCACAGGGTCAAGGCTGCCTTTATTGATAGGAAAGTTTGTCTTAAGGTTTTTGAAAGGGAGAAATTTCTTCTAATTTCACTGATTAAATAAAATAAGTCCTTGTGAAGAGTGAAGGAAAATATTTCAGAGTACTTTCTAATACTTTGGAAAAGGAGGCTATTGCAGCTTTATAGGTGAGGATAGAAACCCTTGGAAGGTGGAGGGGTGAGAAATTATTTCTTACACTAAACTTTTGCATATAAAATTTGAGAAAGAGGAGCAATTAGTTTATCTATTTTAAAGTCATGAGAAACTTTGTTGCTCCCTTTTTGAATCTGCTAATTTGTGGAGGAGTAATTTCAAAAAATATTTTGAATGCTTATAGAGTTCCACAAAAATTTTTAGATAAGATAAGGTACTGGTAGGTGTGGGAGAGGTATTATAAAACTCTTTAGATAGTATTAAGAGTCAAATGGTGGGTTCTGAAACTCTGAGTTCATGCTATATTACAAATTGATCTGAGGTTCTGTTCCAGACTGTGTTGATCTCTGAAACTCACTATCATGATAAGGGGACTTCTATTTACACTAGCAGGCCTCTCAAAATTGTCTCAGAGGATTACTTAGTTAAGCATTTCCAGGTTACTCAATTGTGATCGAATATCATAGTTTTCTGAATCAAATATTTATTTTGGTTCTAATTATGACAAATGATCGTCCCTTCTTTAATGCAACTTAGTATGGTTTAATGCCTTATGAATTTAAAGAACAAAAATAGGCATTTTAAGTAAAATGATTATATTTGAAATCATTTATTGGTTTTAGTTTTTTTATTATGTTTTTAAAGATGTACTTTTGTTTGTCTTCTTACGAAGAATGCAAATTTGAAAATAAGTAATACATTTTCCTGTGGAACTCACTCCTTTTTTGTTTGTTTGCTAGTAAAACTCTGGTTTTTAAGTTAATCTCTTCAGTTTACCCATCTAAAGTGTTGATAATGTATATATTTTGCTTACAGTCAAAGCTAACACCTTATTTTTTAGTATAAAGAAAACTTTTAGAAAGAAAATTAGAGTTTTTGTTTGTTATTGTGGAATACTGTCAGTATCATATTTTGGTTATTTTGTGGCATTCTATATGTTGGATTATATAATTATTTGTAGTACCAGTTTTCACTTAAACTTCACCGCTGAAACTATTTCTTGTTTCCATTGGGGTCTCACTCTGTTGGCCTGGCTGGAGTGTAGTGGCACAATCATGGCTCATTGCAGCCTCGACCTCCTCGACTCAGGCGATCTTTCTGCCTCAGACTCCTGAGTGACTGGGACTACAGGCATGTGCCACCATGCCTGCCTAATTTTTTTTTCTGTAGATACAAGGTCTCACCGTGTTTCCCAGGGTGGTCTTGAACTCCTGCACTCAAGCAATCCTTCCACCTCAGCCTTCCAAAGTGCTAGAATTATACTAGCATGAGCTACAGCACCTGATTCACAACTGAAACTATTAATTATAATTATTAATTATGTTCTTTGTGGGATCAGATTGTTATTTAACTTGCTTTCCTACTTAAGTTAATGCTATATCCATCTGTTTTCTGATGAGGCTTTTAGAAATACAGTGTTAATATAAACTTTTTTTTTTTTTTTTTTGAGTTGGAGTCTCACTCTGTCGCCCAGACTGGAGTGCAGTGGCTGCTCCCGGCCACCACAGCCTCCACCTGCTGGGTTCCGGCGATCCTTCCACCTCAGCCTTCCAAGTAGCTGGAACTACAGGCACGCGCTACCACGCCCGGCTAATTTTTTGATTTATTGTAGAGGTGAGGTCTCGCCTGCCCAGGCGAGTCTCGAACCTGCGGGCTCAGGCAATTCACTCATTTCAGCCTCCCAAAGGTGGGGGATTACAGGCGGAGCCACCGAGCCCGGCTATAAACTTTTTATTATACCTGTACATGTGCTTGATAACCAGGTAAAACTGAAATCTAGAGACAACTTGAATCATAATAATAATATCAGATATAACACAGATGAAATTTACCAATAACTCTGAGGCCAGTGTTTTACAGAAAAAACAAACTAATTAATGACACGAACTTATTTGACTTTATCGGCGTTCTCCCTCTACCCCTGCTTTGTGGTACCTGTACTGAAGACTAGTGAAATGCAAGTAGCCACAAAAAGCAGAGGACTTGGAGACTCTTCCTTCCAGTAGTTGAAACTGACCATATTTAATTTTTCATTGTGTCTTCTTGTCCTTATGGTCTTTGTATCATTGTAAGATTACTATGCGATCTTTATAAGATTGAAATTTAATTTTTTGGATTGATTTCCAGCATTTTGCTTTATTAGTAAATCTTTAATATTACAGGAAATATTGGTAATAGTTAATACTTACAGTGAAGTAGTTCTGAGTCAGTATTTAGCTGACCTTGATAGTGTAATTATTTTTTAGATAATTAACCTTTTTGGGGTACATTTATATTCCTTCTTAATTCCAGCCTTAATTTAAGCAAATCATAAATTGAATCTTTTTTCCTGTATAGCCTTTGCTTATTTTATATTTATACTGACAAGTTACATTAGTATTAAATACTTCACCTTAGTTAGTCAGCAGTACAATGACCAATTGTATACCTAATTCTGAATTGTACCCTGTATCTTTAAAATAAAATAAATGAAAATTTTTTAAAAAAGAATTGGGTCACTTAGCTATAGATTTAGATCTCATTTATCTTCGTCCTTTGTTATTAGTAGCCTACTTATTTAATGAAGGCTTATTTTTCTACAGTTTGAAAACATCACCTGAGATTCTTTATGAAGTATATTGATTAAAACTTGAAGGGCATACTGGGCGTGGTGGCGCAAACCTGTAATCCCAGCACTTTGGGAGATGGAGGTGAGAGGATTGCGTGAGCTCAGGGGTTCGAGACCAGTCTGAGCAACATGGCAAGACCTCATCTCTACAAGAAATCTGAAAAATTAGCTGGGTGTGGTGGCACAGGCTTGTGGTTCTAGCTATTTGAAAGTTTGAAGTGGAAGGATCACCTGAACCCAGTAGGTTGTGACTGCAGTTGTGAGCGTGCCACTGCACTCCATGACAGAGTGAGACTCCAACTCAAAAGAAAAAAGAAAAACACTCCCCAAAAACTTTGAAAGGCATTATTGTGTAGTTCACAAAATGTTAACAGTTGTTTTAAATTTTAGAAAATAAAATCTGTCAATTTCTTGCTTTTCCAGAGTTCCAAATGGACTTTTTAATAAACGATAAGGCATCTGTACACTCTGAAAATATATTTTGTATGAGATTTGTTAAATTCTAGGAAAATTTTGATTTTATGTTTTGTGATTTAATTTTTTTCTAGGGGTTTAGTGGTTACTCTCCTGTTTGGAAAAACAAACTCAGAGAGGTACCTAGAACAGTGTGAACACTCATTTCTTCCTCCAACATCAACTGGGGTTCCTAAGGTAAATAGTGCACAGGGATAAGAAACCTCAAAGTCCAATTATTTGCATTGGTAATATTGTGATCATCTGTATGTGGCTTGACAGATTTTCCTGTAATTCAGTAGTCACTGTGAGTTTATAGGAGATTTTCTGATCATACTCAAAGTATTCATTTTAAAACGACATCTTGAAAACTTTTGTAGTATTAGATGTAAAAAGTGGATATACAAATTTGAGGAAAAGATAGAAGTTAGTTTAATTTGGGTGTTTTTCCTGCTGTTTTAACATGAAATTTCAAAGCTTCATACATAGGATTTATAAGAATGTCAATGAATATTCTGTTTTTGAATGAAATAAATTGTATAAAAACCAGACGGGGGAAAATGGACATTTGACTTTGAAAAATATAACTTACACTTAGATTATGCAGTATCTAAAGCTTTAATAATTCAGGCATAATTTTTGTCATCCTGAATGGTGTTATTTCACTATGTTTTTTTTCAGTACCATACTCTATAAATAAAATTGGAGTTGAATAGGCTTCAGATTTGCAGTACTTTCAATTCTTATGGGATTGGGATAGTTTCATCTTGTTTGAAGAGAGACAGATGACCTGGAGTTGATGCTAGTAACTTTCCCATTATTAATTTGTCCATTGTATGCCAAGATATAGGCAATACAGAGATAAACGATTAATGATATTATTTTTACATTAATGAAATAAAAGACTTCCATTCTATCCTGCTGATTTTCATATTGACACAATTTTTTTCTAATACTTATGACATTTTTATAATCTGAAACTTTTCTTTCCTCCTTTAGGACTCTTACTCAATTTATTCTTTAAGTTTGCTTACAAGTCTTTCAGAGGAAAAGAATCTCTTTTTTTTTTTTTTTTTTGAGTTGGAGTCTCACTCTGTCGCCCAGACTGGAGTGCAGTGGCCGCTCCCGGCCACCGCAGCCTCGACCTGCTGGGCTCTGGCGATCCTTCCGTCTCAGCCTTCCAAGTAGCTGGAATTACAGGCGCGTGCTACCACGCCCAGCTGATTTTTTGATTTATTGTAGAGATGAGGTCTCGCTGCCCAGGCGGGTCTCGAACCCGTGGGCTCAGGCAATCCACTCACCTCAGCCTCCCAAAGGCGCGGGATTACAGGCTGAGCCACCGAGCCCGGCTAAGAATCTCTTTTTTAAAACCATTATTTAGCTGTTTATAGTTTACATTCATGTGAGTGGTATGGGAATGGGATGGTAACTATTTTAAGGAATAAATTCGATCCTTAACAGTAATAATTTATTGTAATAAATTATAGTCAAGACTGGTTAAATCTTTATAGTTAATTTTTTAGTAGATGGTACATAATAGTGTTTTAATTTGCTATTTCTAAAATATGATTTATAGGTATATTTTATGAAAAAAATCTTAATGGGTTCATGTTATATTATTTGTGCTTGGTTATATTTTTAAGTCTCCCACTACCTGTCACTATATTTCCAGGCCACTGATCTTTCCTTCTGAAGACTGAGAACAAGTAGAGAAATACTTTCCTCTAGTTTTTTTCTTTAGTTGCCAAAAACTATCCCTAAGTAAAATCAATTAAAAAGTGTCTTCATGTAGTTGATAGGAAAAGAGAGAAGAGAGTGTCTGATAAAAATACTTTGACTCATCTGACACACTAATTGTATAGTTTTAAAGTTTCATTGAAATATTACAACAATATATCTATACCTTTCCGTTTTTCCACATTCTAAATGTTTGCTGATTTAAGTAAATTTTGAGAGTAATATTTTTTGAGAGTGTCTAGTTTTGTTAATTTGAGAATAGTGTTTGGTTTATACTGGGGTCTCAATAAATAAGGTTATTTAATGACTTGAGGGTAGTGAAGAGAAGTTATAGTGAATATTCAGTTGGAGTTAAACTGGAGAAATTGTAAATCAGAAAACTTCTCAGTAAAATGTTATGGTTTTGTTTAAGTGCTTAGAAGAAATGAAACGGGAAGCCAGGACTATTAAGATCGATAGAAGATTGACGGGTGCCAATATAATTGATGAACCTCTCCAGCAAGTAAGTTTCAGTATGTGGTATTTGAATTCCATATATTGTGTGCTAGGTGTATTTCTTTTGAAAGTATTAATAAAAACTTTTTGTTATATAAATAATATGTTAGAGTTTCATGATAATGTTATCTTTGAGTTTTGTACTTGAATATGCTGTCTGATTGAGTTAGGGTCTTGTTCTGGTGCCCAGGTTGGAGTGTAGTGGCATGAACATGACTCACTGTAGCCTCTAACTTTTGAGCTCAAGTGATCTTTCTGTGTCAGCCTCCTGGGTAACTGGGACAACAGGCATAAACTACCACACTCAGCTAATTTTTAAATTTTGTGTAGATTTGAGGTCTTGCTATATTGCCGGGGCTGGTCTCAAACTTCTAGGCTCAAGCTATCCTCCTGCCTCCCCCTCTTAATGTGCTGGGATTACAAGCATGAGCCACTGCACTTGGTTTCTGCCTTATTCAGTAACTCACTTATAATGCAGTGATTTACTTACTACGAAAACCTTTTGATTGAATTTGCATTTTAAAAAAGGTTTTACTCATATTTGATGGTGTTTCTAATAATTTTATAGTTGAATGTTGCTCTTTTGCCAATGAACAAGCTTAGTGGTTTGGTAAATCAGACTTGTGTCTAGTTTTATTACTTTTTCAAAATGGAAATTCAGTACCTGATTGGATCTCAAAATATTCAAAACTTAGAATTATATAAAAAATTATTATCCCAAAATATTTTTCGTTGATGTTTGTTTAATTATATGGTTGTTATAAAAACATACTTTAATAAATTTTAGCATTTATTTTACAAATGAACTCATTTAGTTTATCTGATTTGCAAAAATTATATGAGTTGTGTTACTTGTGATTTATTGTCTGACTGAATGCTATTGGTAGTATGAAAGATATTTAGAATTAAATGAACTATATCAGTTTTATAACTAGACTAATGGAGCTGATGATATAATCTTGGAAAAACTAGAATTTTTTGAGAATTTTTTGAGGGCCTACCAGCATTATTTTACATCTCATTCCATCAAATTGATTAAAATTCTTAATTATAGCATTGAAATTGTATTTATTTATCTGCAAGCTCCATCTTTACCTGAATTTGGCCATAGATAATGTCTTAATTTTTAAAAATTTTGGGCAGTAGGTAATTGGGATAATAAAATAATTAAAACTGTTTGAAATTTTTTTAGCATGTTGATGCTTTCGTAATAAAGGCAGGTATTTAACCACCATAATTTAATATGTAGAGAGTCAATATAAATTGGCAGATAATCATCTTAGTTTTTAGTTTACTACTGTTACTTTTTAAATCCTAAAAAGTTGTATTTTTTCTAATATTTTTGTTACAGGTTATCCAGTTTTCCTTGAGGGATTATGTCCAGTATTGGTATTATACATTAAGTGATGATGAATCGTTTCTTCTTGAAATTAGGCAGACTCTTCAAAATGCACTAATTCAGTTTGCTACTAGGTAAGGACATTGCGTTGTATTTATGCTGAAAAATTTAGATGTTTGTATCAATAGGTGAAATAACTTTTAAATGGGGTGCGGGGATTATTTATTCAAAGGTAAGTAGAGAGCCCTTAAAACCTGCAAATTGTTCCAGATTTGAGGTTTCGACAAAATGTTTATCTTTTTTCACCCTGCTCTTTCAGTCTATATGCCAATTTTCCTGAGGGTCCAAATCAGGTGACTTTTAAAATCTTTTAACCTACTTATTGCTTTTACTTTTTTCCCCCCTCTTCCCCAGATACTCTGTTTTATTTGAGTGCCATAGAAATAGATTAGTTTCAGAAAAACTGCTCTTCCTCACTGTAGTTTCAGTATAGCATCCTTTTAACTTTGACACATGCCTAATGGACGTCCTCTTAGAGAGAGGAGAAGGAACCAAAGGAATATAAGTCAGTGGAGAGTATTTACCTTTTTCTTTCTGAAAATAAGTATATTTTGATGAGTTTGTTTTAAGAAACTTTTCTTGAGAGATATACTAAAATCTTCACTTTACAGACCAGTTTATTCATGTACTTAAACTACTTGATTTTTTTGATGAGGGACTATTTCATTCCAGTTTAAATTATGTTGACTTTCATTTTTATTTATTTATTTTGAGCTGAGGTTTCACTCTGTTGCCCAGGCGGGAGTGGCATGATCATGGCTCATGGCAACCTTGAATTCCTGGGCTCAGGGGATCCTTCCTTCTCAGCCCCCTGAGTGTCTAAAATTGCAGGTGTGCACCACTACACTGGCTGATTTTTAAAAATTTTTTTGTAAAGATGGGTCTTGCTATGTTGCCCAGGTTGTCTTGAACTCCTGGGCTCAAGTGATCGTCTCGCCTCAGCCTCCCAAAGTATTGGGATTACTTGTGATTATTTTGTTATTCTGAAAGTCTTAGAGAATAGAACTTTATCCTAGGGCTGTTACTATATTTGCTGCTCTATATTAATAGATATTTCCAGCTCATGCTGCCTTCTCAGGACCTTTCTTTTATAACGAAGTTGATCCTAAAGCTTTAGATTAGGAGTGGGGGAAAGGGTGGGGAATGGAATGGATTTCTTAACCTCAGGATATTAGGGATCCTTGCACAAGTTTTATAGTTTGAACAATATCCTTAGTGATAGAAAATAGATTTGCATAATTAGCAGCAAGCATCTGCAAAGTAGCCAGCCGGAGTTACAGTTGCAGACTCACTGTGGAACATGGAAAATACAATTGGTATTATCAAAGAAGTTCAGAAATTGGATTTTATCTCTTTTATTTCAAATGCAGCATTGAGTGTTAGATATTCTTTCAGATATTCATCCATTGCTTTGTCTAGTAATACTATCCTAATTATTTTTTTCCTTTGAAAGGGTGAGAATAAGAAGAATTCATTATTTTTGTACAGAACTCTTTAAAAGCATATTAAAATGTAACACATTTTAGTCCTGGTCTGAGATTTGAACTAGTCGTTTGAAGACTTGAGTTTGCATTCTGGCTCCATCACTTAGCTGTGGGCTGTGACTGTGAGCAAGTATTTTAAACTCTTTGAACCTTGATTTCTTTCATACGTAAAATAAATGTAATAATACCTGCCCTGTTCTATGTTCTTCACAAGCTAATTGTCAGGATCAAATTTATTTATTCAGTCAACTAGTATTTTGGGCATAATTTGTGTCACCCAGGCTCTGGGGGATATAGCAGTGAGTAAAACAAAGTCCTTGCTCAGTGAAATGGAATGAAAATAATACCTGTGTTTTATGCCATCCGACACATAATTTCACTGATGAGGAAGCTAAGGTCCAGGAAGGTTAAGTGGTTAGCCTGATGTTATCCAGTGAGTTAAGAGTTGGAATTAGAATCAGATTGTTCTTAACAGTCTGATGTTCTTTCTCCTGTTCTTCATTAAATATTTTATAATCTAGGTTATTCATCTTATTTCCTTCCTTACTTTCCTATCATTGCAATACTTTCCCTATTTTTGATTCCCTAGTCCTTTTGTTTTCATTTCATGTCTTAAGTGAGTGTTTGTTTGTTTTTTTTCCCCTTCTTTCTCTAACATTCATTGCTGTCAAGCTTAATGATTGGGTGATTACTGAAAAAGCCAGGTTTCTTTCATCCTAGACTGAACTGAATTTATATTTTTTTCTTGGCCATTTACCTTAAGTTTTTAGAAAAGTAAGAAAACTGATAGCTGCTTTAAACGCTGCTTCGAGGCTAAAAAAATATCTAGTAAAGCCCTTTGCACATGGTAATACTCAGTAATTTTTTTTTGGTCTGTGCCTTCTCTGTGCGTGACTTTTCTCTGTTGGCTTTTGTATTTACTGTAAAATATATGTCTTACCAGAGACTTCATGAGTTTTTTCAGTGCCAATATTGAGAAAATTAGATCTGTCTGGAGTCTTTAGAATACTCGTTTAATTCTTGCTCTGTGCTGTTTGTTTTGCACTGTGAAGCAGATGACAAGAGCATACTTTGTCACTTCTATTTGTCGACTTACTGTCCTTTAGAAGACTCTTAACAGGAACCTGAAAATGTATTCAAAACTGTTTACTTTCTATCGAATACTTCCATTGATTTAAAAAGGGCCTGCCTATGAACTCAGAAAAGACTTAGAGCCCCCTGATTTCTAGTGTTATTTATTAACCAACTTTGAGAAACAATTAGAGAAGGTCTTTCTTAAACAAAATGCTACGTTTTGAAGAAAAATGGGAAGGAAAAGATGTTCTTAGAGTGTGAAGTCCTTGAGTTGAGCGGCTATTTATTAAGCTGTATGTCCCTGAATGTGCAAAACCCATCAATTTTTGAGTCTGGGGATAATAACTTGTATCTTCTTATCAGAATGTTGTTAAGATTAAATGGCATCATGTGAGAGAGTACTTTTTAGCAATGACACCTTATTAGAAAGCGGGAGGAGGGATAAAAAAAAGAGAGGAGCAAAAAAAGCATTAGTACCTGTTACTCCTGTAGCAGTTTGGGGAAAGGAATTTTGAAAATCCTTGAGTTCTCTTTCTCTCAGGAATCTGGACTGGCATTAGACAGGAGGGAATGAATTCCTTGATGCCTTGTATTTTTATTTCCCCTTTAAATAAGATATTTTAACAAAGGACAGAGAGCCCTGGACTCTCTCTATATAATTACAATGTACCATTGAGGTACAGAGTACCCAAAAGAAAATTTCTTAACATCTTTGTATAACAGTACTACTAATACTTGTAGCACACTCTGAGTTGTGAGGGGCAAATGAGATAATGTGAATTAAACATTTCAAAAATGTTATTTGTCAAACAGTAAATGACAAATGACATTTTGAACAAGTTACTTGACTTTCTATGCTTCCATCATCTGGCCCATAGTAAGTGTTCAATAAATACTAACTTTACTATTATTGTTGTTGCTATTTACTATGGTCCTAGATTATGTACACAGATTCTTTGACCTTGTCTTAGCTTTTTTCTGTGTGGGAGATGGGAGTGAGGAGACAGGAAGACAAAATTAAGGCATGTGAAATAGAAATAGTCATTTGTGTGGTACTGAGAGCAATTTGTCACATAGAGATAAATTGGATCAGAGTACCTGATGAAGACTTCATATGAGTTGAGGCCTAAACTGGTCTTCAAGAATGGATATATTTGGATAGACAGAGGTGACCGACATGTTAGGAAAAGGAGTAACATGAGCAAAATTCTAAGGACGATAAGGATAGTCTGGTTGACTTAGATTCAAGTCAACAGGGAATCTCATTGTTGCTCTTGGAAAGTGTGGTTAGTAAACCTCTCCATCTCTGTTCTATGCCAGTGTTCCTTCCTAAAGGATTTTCTCATGGGGGAGAAGAGGTATAGATACATAGATTCCAGGATTCACTGGCTATGATACTAATGATGTGACTGGTTTTGGAATGACAGGGAGTATGTTCGTAGAGTTTTACCATTATTCTTACTGCTTTTGGCATAGAAATAATTAAAAGATATGGTATATTCCTAGACTTATTAAAAGGCAAACACAACTCAAGTAGTAGATATTTACAACAGTAAAGTTTTACATTTTATATTTTTTGCCATTTGAAAGCTTAGCTCAAAGCTCACATTACTTAGAAAGATGATTATTGTCATATTTATAATAGGAGAGCTAAAACAATTAGAAATCATCTAAATATTTAAAAGAGGGGACAATAAAGTAATGTTTTTATAGTTATAGAATAGACTAAGGGATGATAATTTGTATATTTGTATAATAATTTGTATATTTATGTAAGTTAGTGGCTTTTAGTATATTCACAGAGTTGTGCAAAGTTTGTCACAATTTAAGAACATTTTAATAACATTACAAAGAAACCTTGTATGCATTATCAGTTACTTATGTGTTTCCCCAAGCTTCTAGCTTTAGGCAACCACTAATCTTTTTTTGTCTCTGTGGATTTGCCTATTCTGGGCATTTTATATGAATGAAACAATATATGTGGTCTTTTATGACTGCTTCTTTCAGTTAGCATATATTTTAAAGGTTTATCTGTTTTGTAGCATGTACGAGTACTTATTCTTTTTCATTTTTAGTAATATTCCTTGAATGGGTATACCATATTTGTTTATCTGTTTATTAGTTGATGGACATTTGGGTTGTTTCCACTCTTTGGATTCTATGAATAACGCTACTGTGAACATTTGTGTACATGGATATAGTTTTCATTTCTCTTGGGTGTGTAGAAACACAGAAGTGATTTCTTGGTAGTGTGGTGCTTAACATTTTGAGGAAGTGCAAAGTGTTTTTCAAAGGGCTGTATGTACTTTGTTGCATAAATGTGTTTGTAAGACTCTTCTTGATTCTTCTTGATTAAGTCCTTCAGAACAGGCTACTTGACCTCTTTGAAGCATTAAAACACAGATTTAGAGCTGGACTTCTTAAACAGTGTTATAATTCACTAGATACCATTTCCCTCTAATGCAGTTATATAAAACGTATGCTTACATCTCCATTTCTATCAATTTGCTTATAAC